CAAAACCTCTGTTGCTAAGCAAGACAGTTAAGTGAATTTTGCCCCATTTTACAACCTTTCTTGCCACAGTAAAATGAATTACCACAGTTGTTAAGTTACTAACAGGGTTGAGGATGAAGGTTTGTTCTCCAAGCTTGTGGGTTGGTTTCCGAACATTTCATTACCCATTGTTCACAAAACTCATCACAAGATTCTTACTGATTACTCACACAAGACCCATCACAAGACCCTCACTTGACACACCTACACACGAAGCCTTTATAAACAGAAGAACACCAACACTGACATCTCCTAAACTCTGCTGAAGACATTACCTAGCCTGGTAACAAAACATTCAGAAACCAACCCACAAGCTCGGAGAACAAGCCTTCACCCTCATCCTACACCTGAGCTACAGATATTCACCACCATTGCAAACTAACAGGGTTGTTAAATGAATCTGGCTTCCCTATTGATTTTGCTTGTTAGAAGGTCACAAAAGTTTATCATACGACTTCAGAACACTGCAACTGTCATAAATATGAGTCAGTTGCCAAGCCTCTGTATTTTGATCATGTGATCATGGGAATGCTGCAATGGTTGTAAGTGTGAAAAATGGTCATAAGTTACTTTTTTCAGTTCCATTGTAACTTCGAACAGTCACGAAATGAACTGTTATAAGTCAAGGATTATCTGTATTACATTAAACTATAATGTTGTTTGTTTGATTTTGACAGCATGTTATATAATCCAATTCTACAATTTTCCCTTTACCATTCTCCAAAACCAAAAAAAAAAAATCAAATCACATCTGCAAAATCAGATATTTTACCAGCACTTTCTCAAGCTGTTGGGAATTCTCAAATGGGATGCTGGGGGATACATTCACCCTGTGGGTTGCCCAACCCCAATATGAAAGAGTAATTCTACCTTGCCAATTCCAGTGACATTTGATCCTTTAATGATAGGATAACTAGTGGCTTGCACAAACAAATTATTGTTGTCCAGAAGTGGCCAGGAGCCTTCAACTNGCTGTGTTTACCCCAACATCACTAGCAAAACAAAACATGTATTTAAATTGTTGCTAGTTCAAAAGTTGATCTCTCCTTTATCCCATTGCTGCTGTGGGTTTGCAGTTTGTAATGAGGAACATTATGAAAGGTCTTCTGAATACACAAGTAAACGACTGTATATTTATCAGGTCACTTCCCCCACATCCCTGTTAATATTGCTGAAGAAGTTATTCTCAAAGACAGTTCTTGCTGCTATATAGCATGATTTATATATTTATTTTTCTTCAGTGTTGCCTCATCATAGCAGGGGGTTGTTACTGAGAGGAATCAATGAAGAATGCCAGGAGTATACACCAAAAATTTATAGTCCCAGTAGTGTAACCAAGGCATGAAGTTCATCCCTGCAGTCCAATTAAAACAACAAGTACCTCGGTTGGGCAACAATGAGACAGGAAGATTCTGGAGATGATGATTTAAATGATAACGGCAAAGTGTTCATTTCATACTGCATGAAAAAAGGCAAAGGTAAACCATTATATCATGTATTTTACAAAACAAACCCCACATGACTAGACAAGGTAAAGTGATTAACAAAAATCTTAGGAAGCACTCAACAACGAATGTCTAGCTGTGGAATCTCTTTAAGAAATGGGAATCCCAGAACATCTCATTGCCCTCTTGAAGAAACCTTTTGTAGGAAGACATGGAGATGACCTTAGAAAAAATATTCAGAAATTATTACTACATCAATAGGTCTGAAAACATGTTTTAAGCCCAAGAAACAGGGAAAATATTAGGAAGAGACCCAGTCTGGCTCCTCTCTAACTCCCTGGGATATAAGAAAAATGGTAAGGAAAATGATGACAGGCTTGCAAGAATCTATTATGATAACATATAGTTGTAGTCTTCTTCTGGGGTCTGTTCCCTGATCTGGTCAACCCTGAATGGTTGGTATCTATACAGAGCAACACAGTCACGCTACCACCCACCATGCTCGTGAGTTCATCGAACCCTGGCACTCCACAAGCGATTCCATCAACAAACACATTGACCTACAACCAGCCAATGAACCCCCTTCAGAATCCCTATCAAGCACACAGCCAACCAGAGACAGCACCGACCCTCAACCAACCCATGCAAGTTCCTCCTTCCACCAGCAGTTCACCTCTCAATGACCTCCCCATCACAAGACCCATCAAAAGACTCACTGATGACTCACACCTGACCCATCACAAGACCCATCACAGACCCTCAGTTGACACACCCATACATAAAGCCCTTATAAACAGAAGAACAATGACATCCCCTAACTCTGCTGAAGATGTTACAGTACCTAGCCTGGTAACGAAATGTTCAGAAACCAACTCACAAGCTCAGAGATCAAACCTTCACCTTCACCTATACGGAGAATAGGAAGCCACAGTCTTGACAGAATAAGGGAAAGCAAATGGGTTCAGGCTGGCAAAAGTGTGAAACGAGGCTATGTACTGTCTCCTTATTCATTCAGACTATATGCTGAACCTATATTGAGAGAAGTTAAATTAGAAAAAGATGAGCATGTTTTTAAAATGGAAGAAAAACATCAATAACCTTCACTATTGATGATGCTACTCTGATGGTTGACAATGCAAATTATTTGAAAACTCTAGTAATGAAAATCAAGTATCACAGTAAAAAAAATAGAGGCTAAGATTAAATATAAAAAGAACATAAAAATAACAGATACAGCAACCAGCTTTAAAACTGACAGTGAAGCTATTTAAATGGTTGATAACTTCTGCCTTTTAAGATTGACTGTCAACAGTAAATATCCAATGTAGACTAGCACTTGGTAGGAGAGCAATAAAAGTCTTTGAAAAGATACTCAGATGCTGTAATGTGTATATACCTACAAAGATGAGAATCATGCAAGGAATGGTTTCCCCTATGACAGTCTATGGAGGTGAAAGTTGGACTTTAAAGAAGCCAGATGGAGAAAGTATTCATACTTCTGAACGATGATGTTGGGAAGACACCTGCCAGTATCATAGAAAGACAAGAAAATGAACAATGGATCCTAGAACAAACCAACCCTGATTTGTCACTCAAGGTACAAATGCCTAACCAACACTAGGAGGAAATGCTTTCCATTGCTGCCCTGGTGAAATAGTTTAACATTGGACATTCCAGTAGTAGGTTGAACTACAGCTCTTTTTAATTAGCTAAGATAGCACCTTTGGAATTATATGTGCCAGATAATTATGAATATTCTCCTTATAGCTGTATGAATGAAGATTAGTGACCAAGAGCCTTCAGAAATGGGTGGCATACAAATGGAAAACATATATTAATATTATATTGTAGTGTGGGTTTATTTATTTATCATAAACCACTGATAGTTACATGAGTGCAGCAGCATGAAAATCAAAAAATATCCCGATATTGCAAGTTTCTGCCAGTTCAATAAGAGGGTAACTCTATTAAATTTCTGCTGGAAAACAATCATTTTCTGATTACCAGTACTAAGCCCTAGCAAGCCCTAATGAATTCTGTGCAATGGATGTATAGTTTTCCCATTATGTAAAAGAATAACTGCTAAGCAATATAACTAAAAACATGTTTAACTTTATTAAACTGTTTTCATATTTATACCTTTGAATCACTTTTCCAATTGCAATATGTTACTTTGGGTCATCACACATCTGTATAAACATCTCACCAACATTCTGAGGACTGATTTGGAATAAACATTCTGCATATTTAAGGCACATTTTGCCAGATATTCAACCCATATAAAATTATATTGAAGCTCATGGGATATGAAGAATAAAACATATACCATAACTTAATTGCATCCACAAATTATCATCTTTAAAATACATTCTTGATTTATGTTCTTCAGATAAGAGCACCAGAACACTGAAATGGAAACCAGTACAAATCTTACATACATTGCCTTTACTTTAGCTTCTGTGTGTATGGGCATGTGTGAATACCAGTGCAAAGGAGTTGTGACATTGTACAAACCTGCACTGCCACTGCAAACCCCATTTCAATCCACATCCAATACTCTTAAAGTGCTATCTTGTCTCTGACTTTAATAATGGAACCAACCTAATTCAAGAATATGTTGGGAACTGCTGTTCAAATCTCGCTCCATAGAATCTACATTCTGAGCTGTCAATGGGAAGAAAAAAAGTGCAGTTTGTCAGGAAGAAGAAAAGCAAGTATTGGGTAAAAGAGAAAATGTGTTCTTCTGGCTGCATTTATAGTTCAGGCATTTATAGTGATTGCATCTGAGTAGGCCCTACATTTTTTGAGGAGTACCCGTTTTTCTTTCTATTATAAACAAATCATTATAGACACTTAGAGCAAAGTTGTTTTCTAGAAACACTGACTTTGCAAACTAAAACTTAATGAAAGAGGCAATGTAGTTTCAGTGTTATTTCTGTAGATAGCTGTGAATTTCCAGTTTTCAGAAGAGATTAAACAAACCAGAATGCTGAGAAGAAGAAAAATGGCTTATTACATTCAGTGTACTGTCCAGATATTTTAAGGTGCCAAAGAACATTTACCATTAGTTTTCATCTCAGGTTTCCATTAAATCTTAAAAAAAAAAACCTTAAAGCAACTGAATGCCTAAATTAATGCGAAAGCATTTCCTTTGTCTGATTTTGTCATTATATTTAAGGATCATAACTAAGGATGTTGTCAAATTCTGGGAAAGAGTTCCAGTTCATAACTGTCACTAGGCTATGTGGGAAATATAGTGCAAGGTACTCTTGATTAATTGCACTAAGAAGCATTAGGAATATAAATCCCAATCACCACAGGATAGAGAAATATTCCTAACTTCCTGGAATGTTCCAGGTCTTAAGAATGAGATTTCCACACAAAAACTTGGAAGGGACACCTAACTCTAGTTTTAAAACAGGCTGGGGTAGCTCACCTATCAGCACTTAGAAAGCCATTTGGTGAAATAAACCATATTTGCTGATCCCCTGGACTTTCTAGTCACCACTAAAATGTTCACATATACAGTTGTAGTACTGTGATTAAGAGAAGGAAGGATGAACTGCAAGGATGAGAAGTCCTATCACTGTGGAAAATGTGGATTTTCTTGGAATCTGGATGGAGTGCCCTGGCATCTTCCAATGCTTTCTGTGCTGCTTGAGTAAAGTTAACATCTCCTGAAGTCATCACATCAAAGATACATGACTGGAAGTAGATGTCTTCAACTGGTAGCTTCTCCTTACATAGCAGATGAGCTTTCTTTCTTGTCAGGCTACCTTTTGGATGACAGCAGTTATGTATAGAGATGCGCTGGCTGAGAAAGCATCCTGACATACACAGCTGGAGATCCTGTTCATCTGTGAAGGAGAATGCTATCTCCTTAGCTGTCCGGATGGAGAAGGACAGGTGCTTCCCTACCTGGCGCACAGCAATGGTGGTACCAATGTACGTTGCTTGGATTGTTATGTACTGCCCAGGTATATGTTCATGAATGGTTAAGCTATTTCCTCCAGGCTTCTCACCACCATTCACTGAACCATCTGCGAATGCTACTGGCAGGTTGTCCATTTCTGCCTGGTAGACTTTCTCTTCAATGCATTCTTTCATGTTTTTAAATATAATGGTAAGCTGTAAAGGAATAATAGCTTTAAAATACATGGGATAGTTCAAATAACTAACTTCTCTAAGAGCCATTCAATGACCGATTCATATATTATCATCAAAAGAGAACACACATCAAGTTAAAATCTTTTACTCTACTTTAGAGAAAAAGCAAACACTATTCATCAGATATGACTGAAGTCTAAAATTAACTAAGATACTTTTTCTTATGTAACTGAAGAAGAGGGGGTAACACAAACACACATCACCTCTTATCAGGAGACCTGTTAAACTTAACTACCATCCTCTATCCAAAACCACAACCTTGCCTGGAATCACAGTGTTGGATTCTATACTACAGAAGAGAGTCAAATTAGGGGTCTCCAACAACAGCAGCACCCTCCCCTAAATAAAAAAGGGTCTGGTTTACCTATGGCAGAACATACAGTAATTCAGAGCTGGGGGGAAAAGCAGAAAGCATACAACTTCTGGATATTTGCATAAGAAGATAAACTGCTTCTTCCACAATGGGTTGATACTAAGCTGCTTCCAGGCATGTTTCTTCACCAACTATAGTAAAGTACATTGGCTCTTCAGAGCAAGTTGGTTCACATATCAGGAAGTATTGTTTGATCTGGGGAATCTCCAAGCTTTCAACCAGAAATGGGATAGTCCTAGCCATTGGGTGCTAACAAAATGAAACGGTTGCTGGAATTGGGTATGTCTAGTTTAACGAAGAGAAGGATGAGGGGGGACATGATAGCAGTGTTCCAATATCTCAGGGGCTGCCACAAAGAAGAGGGAGTCAAGCTATTCTCCAAGGCGCCTGAAGGCAGGACAAGAAGCAACGAATGGAAACTAATCAAGGAGAGAAGCAACCTAGAACTAAGGAGAAACTTCCTGACAGTTAGAACAATTAACCAGTGGAACAACCTGCCTCCAGAAGCGGTGAATGCTCCAACACTGGAAGTTGTTAAGAAGAGACTGGACAGCCATTTGTCTGAAATGGTGTAGGGTTCCTGCCTGAGCAGGGGGTTGGACTCAATGACCTCTGAGGTCCCTTCCAACTGTTGTTGTTGTTGTTGTTGTTGTTGTTGTTGTTGTTGTTATTATTATTATTATTATTATTATTATTATTATTATTATTCATTCTTTTTAACTAAAGGTGACTGAACTATCTTAGGAACAATGACAAATTCCAGTCAGACCACTGGAAGCTACAATAATGTTAGATTCCTGCAAATGCTGGGAATTGTATTAGTAATCCTACATGAGTGATAGGAGCAGATATTGGAACTAGTATGCCAGCAACATTCCCATCAGTTATAAAGGTTTAATTTCCTGATTGGAGAGGGCAAAGCATGTTTTCCAATCTATTAGGAAGGCACCTGTGAGAAAAGGCTCAAACACGTTCTTGAATTATCAGAGGAAACCAAGGAAAACTTTGATAAGATATTGGCTTGGATCAGATACAGGTAGTCCTTACTTACTACCACAACTGAGCGCAAAACCTCTGTTGCTAAGCAAGACAGTTAAGTGAATTTTGCCCCATTTTACAACCTTTCTTGCCACAATAAAATGAATTACCACAGTTGTTAAGTTACTAACAGGGTTGAGGATGAAGGTTTGTTCTCCAAGCTTGTGGGTTGGTTTCCGAACATTTCATTACCCATTGTTCACAAAACTCATCACAAGATTCTTACTGATTACTCACACAAGACCCATCACAAGGCCCTCACTTGACACACCTACACACGAAGCCTTTATAAACAGAAGAACACCAACACTGACATCTCCTAAACTCCACTGAAGATGTTACCTAGCCTGGTAACAAAACATTCAGAAACCAACCCACAAGCTCGGAGAACAAGCCTTCACCCTCATCCTACACCTGAGCTACAGATATTCACCACCATTGAAAACTAACAGGGTTGTTAAATGAATCTGGCTTCCCTATTGATTTTGCTTGTTAGAAGGTCACAAAAGTTTATCATACGACTTCAGAACACTGCAACTGTCATAAATATGAGTCAGTTGCCAAGCCTCTGTATTTTGATCATGTGATCATGGGAATGCTGCAATGGTTGTAAGTGTGAAAAATGGTCATAAGTTACTTTTTTCAGTTCCATTGTAACTTCGAACAGTCACGAAATGAACTGTTATAAGTCAAGGATTATCTGTATTACATTAAACTATAATGTTGTTTGTTTGATTTTGACAGCATGTTATATAATCCAATTCTACAATTTCCCCTTTACCATTCTCCAAAACCAAAAAAAAAAAAATCAAATCACATCAGCAAAATCAGATATTTTGCCAGCACTTTCTCAAGCTGTTGGGAATTCTCAAATGGGATGCTGGGGGATACATTCACCCTGTGGGTTGCCCAACCCCAATATGAAAGAGTAATTCTACCTTGCCAATTCCAGTGACATTTGATCCTTTAATGATAGGATAACTAGTGGCTTGCACAAACAAATTATTGTTGTCCAGAAGTGGCCAGGAGCCTTCAACT